AAACTCACGCACCACATCTACCTCACTAATATCCTGCTTAGGAATTTCTACCGAGCACAAAAAACTCGTTATCACCGACTCTTCTCCATCACTAGAAGTGTGGGTAAGCCATGACATACCGGGAATATCTATATTTACAGTCCTTCCAGCACAATCTAGAGTCACAAAGTATTTTCGCAGCCAATCCACACCCAAAATAATTGTAAACCCCTCAAACCCTAACACAATTAGATCCGCATACAAGACTTTGCCGCAAAGTCAATCTCAAAATCTTTACACATCTGATAAAGAGTAACTGCCTCTCCTAAAGGGGTCTCAACACGAATAGGTCTAGACAAGGAGGTAGTTACAATACGTTTTCTTTCTACAAACTGCCTAGATATGAAAGAATGAGAGGCACCAGTACCAAAAAGTACTCTAAAAATCCTAAACATGGCATACACAACTAATCAAAATAATTAAAATCAATCCATCATCTACATGCAAATATAAAACCAATCCAACATCAAATAAAAATAAATAAATAAAAACAACGAATCAATCCATCCTCTAACCAATATCTATGGATTCTAAGTTTATTTTAATTTTATATAATCATGAGTGTGATTACAATCATAAAATCAATCCATATAAAAAAAACCCCTAAACCTTGCATGCAACTAATCAAAATAATTAAAATCAATCAATCATCTAAAAACCCTATTTTACATTTTAAGTTGAAAAAATTTACATATATTTAGAAGGAAAATATTTTTTTCTCAAAATAATTAAAATTAATCAATCATCTGAAAACCCTAAACTTTACCTACACAACTAATCAAAGTAATTAAAATCAATCAATTATCTAAGAACCCTAAACTTTACCTACACAACTAATCAAAGTAATTAAAATCAATCAATTATCTAAAAATCCTAAACTTTACATACACCACTAATCAGAATAATTAAAATCAATATATCATCTTTATGTAAATACAAAATCAAACTAACATCAGATAAATAAAAATAAATAAATAAAAACAACGAATTAAACATAAATAAAGGAAAGTGGGTTTTGTACTCACAATACTTTATTGAAGATCAAAGAATATCTAGAAACTACTAGAGTCACCAAAACAAAACTCTAATCTTTCCTTTTCTTCCCTCTCCTCTTTTTTCCTTGCTGCCGCCCATTTCTTTGTCTTCTTTGATCTCTCTCTCTCACAACTTGGTCTCTCTCTTTTCCTTTTGATCTCCTAAACCTAGTTAAATACTTCTATGTTATTATATATATAATAACCTAAGAGCTAGTATAACCTAATAATCTTATACTATAAACCTAAATCTCAATATATAATAGCTTAATAAACTATAATATGCAGTAAATTTAATAATTACAACCTTAAATGGATTTTTTAAAATAGGACTAACTAACAAATATTGTAAATATTGTCTACATATGTATTATATGTCTGATTTCATAATTGATTTTTATATTTATAACAACTTCATCATTAAATCCATTAAATATCACATTAACTCTCATGTGACCACACAATTAATAAAGTCAAAAATAAAATAAGATAATAATAACCATAGTAATAATAAATAATGACTAAAGAAAATTAGGGTCGCTACACATACCCAATTAACTAAGCAACACCCAAATTGTAGTGGTGGCTACCACCATGGGTGCCATGACAGAAGAAGGTGGTGGGTGTTGGTTGAGGGAAGGAGATATACGAGATGAGCTTGTAGGTGTTTGCAGCAGTAGGGGTTTTCATCAAGGTGTTGGATATGCTTTCAAAAATCAAAAGAAGATCGAGGGGATGGGAGTGGGTCACTTGTCCTGTGTAGTTATGGGTAGCTATGGAAAAAGAAGAGAGGAGAACAGGGTAAAAGAAGAAGAGTGGGAAAATATTCTGTGTTTAGTGCAGCTTTGTAATCGTAATTCCACCCCTCCGTTTGCATGCACTGTATGGATAGAGTTTTGAAAATGTGATTCCACCATACATTTCAAAACATATTTCTCTTTCACGTTTGGTAGATTCATATATACTCTATCTCCTTCGTCTTCTCCATTCTGAAAAGCAGAGGAGTTTTTGAATTTTGGGTCTACCCGAACGTCCCCCCGGACGCAAGGCCGATTGATCAGAATAATGTATTTTTATTTATTTATTTATTTTTATTTTTATTTTTTGCAATTGCCAATTGCCGATCGCCAATCGCCAATCGCCACCTATTATTTGGGAAAAAAAATTATATTTGTTTTTGATATTTTTTAAATATAAAAATTATTTTTTTAGACCAAAAAAACAAATTATTTTTTGAATTGAATGTTAAAAAGAGTTTGGTTATGCGTTTTGAATAGAATTTTTAATAGAGTTTTGAGTTGTATATTTAGTTAGGAGTTACAAGTTTTTGAATTAAGTTTTGAAAACTCTTTTCAAAACTCATAATCAAACAACTTTTCTCATTTTATTGTCACATCAAAAATTTAAAATTCAATTCAAAACTCAATTTAAAATTTTTTTCAAAACGCATAACTAAACAAATTTTCTCTTTTTAAATTATAATTTCAAAACTCACAAATTTAAAATATAACTCTTTTATTAAATCATAATTGGAAAGCTCTACTAAACATTACCTTTTATATTCACAAATTTCATAATTGGAAAATATTTTTTAAATACTCAAAATATGGACTTGGAAAAGCTCCAACTTGGGGTTCTTTTATTGGTTTTTCTCTTGACAATTCATATGAGAACATCTTGACTAAGTTAGTTAGGATTGTATCATATCAAGCATGACGTTGCTCTTGGACGGTTTGGGGCATACGAGAACATCTTTCAAATATCTATCAGGTGGGATAAAGGAGTGTTTGGGGGCAGCTATGGATTGTTTGTTTAGATCTAAAGAGATGAGTGTTTGTTTTGGTCTAAATTCTAGAGAGAAAGAGATATGTATTTGATGATGGTATTAGCAATGTATGGTTTTCCCTGAAATGAGATAGAAATGAGAGAAAAAGAAGAAGAGGAAAATAATACATAAAAATTAAAGAAAAATGAGAGAATGTTTTGATTTGTAATAGCATGAAGAAGAAAATTAGAGAAAGAAATAATGGTAATTTAGACTTTTTACAACTTCTGTTACATCCGTCTAAAATTGCAGTCTGCTATAAAATCCAAGGGTTAAAGTGTTATAAATGAAACTATAGGAGAGTTCTGTATTTTCTGAGTAAACTATAAAGAGTTAAAGTATAATTTACCCCTTTTTTAAATTATAAGCTTTAATCCCATTCTATAACTTTTTTTCTTTTTAAATTTTATATCAAATTTAAATATGATGTAAAGTACTAACAAATCATCTCTAATCATTTGTTAAATGTTTATCAAATTAAAGACAGGTTTTTTTATTATTTTTTATTATCAAATTGAGAATTAATAAAAAATTTAATGAAAATTAAAAAAGATAAAACATTAGACATGATTTTTTTTTAATTATTATATCAAATTTGAAGAAAAGAGAAATTTGATATAAAAAGAGAATTTAGCTAATTACATTTTTCGCAAACCTAGGGAGAGAACCAAAAATTTAGTAGTACATTGTTCATGATTTTTATCACTTAAAACAAAAATATGGCATTAAAATTGTTTGACTTTATCTTCCAATAAAACAATTCCGGATCACCGGAGGAAGGGGATGGCTAGAGGTATTGTTGAGAGGAGGGAGATGACAAAAACTTGCTTTCAAAATAACAAATGATTACACATTTTTTTTTTTGAATTATTATTTTTAGCAACAAAAACAACAAGAAGCTCATTTTCGTATTCAGTTTTTAAAATTTGAAAAGAAAAAAAAAATTACGAAACATGCTGTTTTAGCGTACTACTAGGATTCAGTCAAGTTTGGTCTTGATTTCTTTAATCACTATTGTGTTTGTTCATTTCCTGATACCAAAAAACCTTGACAAATGATCACAAGCAAAACCATAGTACCTTGTTTCATATAATTATCCTATCATATATAATTGAGGGCTATTTTGGAAAGACGCTTTTAATCCATTTTTAGTCTCATCATCTCTCACATTTTTTATACGTTTTTTCAAAAAAAGTCAAAAAAATAAAAAAATTAACTTTTAATTATTTTTTCAAAACAATCCTGAATCATCTGAATACCAAGCATCTCTAACAATATATGATATTGCATTGAAAAACTAAAAACAAAAGGCATAAATGCAACATAAAGTTGCTTTCAAAAGAAATTAACCTTCTCATCTTCCAAATTTTCAAAAATGGTCCAACACAAATTATTCTCAATTGTTAAAAATAGTATTCAGAGAGAGTAAAGGCTCCATGTAATTCTAGCATCTCCTGGTCGGCTAGGGTTTAAGGTCGGTTCCTCTCTCTCTTTCTTTTGTTGTGTCCGTATATACACAATGGAAACTTATATCTAATCAAACTTGGGGAAATTATTGTACAAAATGTCTTGATGATAAAACTCCCACAAAATCCAATAACAGAACATATAAAAAGCAAACTTTGAGCAGTATTGCAAATGTTGTAAACCAATAACTAGATACACCAAATGCTGTTCTACATTTCCTAATTCCTTAGAAAGTCATCACACAATAATTAGCACACAACCCAGTTCTCAAAAGACAAGAATTCTAGTAAAATTAGAAATTCCTATTAACTCACTTGTTCAGTGTTTGTCACACAATTCAAGAGACTAGAGATAGAAATGAATAAATTGCTAACATGTCCCCAGCCGATGTAATAGTGATGGTTGCTAGTACTCTTTCCTAAGGCCAAGTTTGGGTAGTATGAAAAAATTAAAAAAGTTAAAAAGTTACTCAAAAAGTTAAAAAGTTAACACTATTCACCAAAAGTCAACAATTACGGCTGCACAACTCCCAATCCTAATTTTTCTCTACAAATCAATTTTTACAATTTTTTATTACACATTTTTTCATAAAAAGTCAAAAAGTTAACCCAAACATCCATATTTTTTCCCTCAACTTTTTAGTTCAAAAAGACAAAAAGTGCACTTATTTAGGACACCCCAAACAATCCCTAAAAGTTGATTTGGCTTGGCACTCCCTCCTTCGAAAAACCAGTTCAGATTCAGAATACAGAGCTTTCTTTGTACCAGTTTTCACCATTCTTAGCTGTTGTAGAATCTGATTTCACCAAAAGGGAAGCTGAAATTGGAAGACAATCCTGATATGAAAAGTCCTCGATCCTACTGGTTTAAAAATTTATCTGTCGCCTCTCAGCAAAAAAATTTCCGGTAACTAACTTGTCTGGAAGCAGGGCAAGCCAAACTCCTGTGTCAGCCCCTTCCTCTGGTGAAGTATGCCCTGCCCAACCAGTCATGGCAGTCTTGACCCAGCCTGGGCAGTAGCAATTGATATATATCTTGTGACCATCTGGCAGGTTTGAAAGCATCTTTGCCATTAGCCTGGTGTAGGCATTAACTGCAAGTTTGGACATTGAGTAGTCGGTATATGTTTGAGGCCACTTGCTGGATGTCCAACTGCCGTCCTTTACTTGTTCTAAAAATGTAGTCATGGTCTTGTCAATCAGTTCCTCTGACAGTGAGTCCACATCTTCCAGTTGGTGTCTCAAAGTGAGATCTCCAATTCTCTGTCACAGACAAGAACTTTGATCATGTTCATATGGTGCCAAGAGTGTGCAAAGTAAATTGTATGAATTAAAACTCCTAAGCTACACGGAGCTTCCTCATTTCATGTTGAATAGTAATTAAAAAAAATCATCTATGTGAAGTGAGGCTAAAGTGGGTCTACATTCAATCCTCTTGGGAACTGTATTGTGTCCATTGAACTAATAATGAGAGAGAGAGAGAGAGATCAGATCTCCAGCATCCTGAAGATTAAAGGAACCGTATTCCAAGCAAGGCACACAGATTATCTTTTAGAGAAAGAAGCATCCACATTCCAGAAGGAATGGCACAAGATTAATTCTAGTACAAAAAATGGATAGAGAAAAACCAAACTTTGACATGGACCGAGAACGTTTCATGTTAAAAAAGAAGCCAACGAGGAGAAAAACAAAAGATGAGGAAGAAAGTCAGATGTCTACTTCACGAGTCCTCAATTATTTAGGAGAAAAAAAATCCAAGTTTATCATAGCCTTCCCTAGAGCTAAGTTTCATACTAATAGCTATAAACCACCCTGAAAAAGAATGCACCAAGTTTCACATTTTATATTCCTGTTTAGTTTATAAAAAATGCAACCTCTTCTACAAGCAAAAAGTAGCTTTAAGCCTCATAGGAATGGGATATTTGGAAAGATTTCCCACCATTTGAGAGGGAAATTGGAGTGCAGAAGTCTTTGGACAAATAACATCAGCATGCCTAGCAAAGAAGTTTATATGCAGTTCCATCAATGGAAATAAAAAACCATTCTAAACAAAAATACATCTCTTTCCCCTCCACTGTCTAGAAAATTAGGAAAAAGAGCAACAAGGAAAGAAAGTAAAATCAAAGCATTTACTTACATTTCGCCTCCCATTAAGTCTTCCCAACCGTGAGCTAACATTAACAATTCGAGCACCTAAAGCAGAAGCCCTCATTAATGGGATCATAGCTTGAATTACATTTTTGGTGCCAAAATAGTTGGTGCCAATAACATGCTCCGCAAACTTGAGACAATTGTCTAATCCACAGTTGTAATTAACGCCTGCATTGTTTACCTGTACAAGTTTATAGGGATAATCGGATCATGAAGATTATTTTATATGGGTTAGATACAACCGTAAAAGCCTACTATCTTGCAAAATGATACCAACAAGCTTTTCATTGTATACATTCCGCTTTTCAATATTCTCCCACTAATTTTATGTTACAGTAGGACTACAAACCTAGACTTTTTATACAGAATTATCAATTAATAGTTTAGATTTATATTCTATATATGGACCCACAACACAATTCAATCTCCACCACACAATTACAATCTGGATAAATTTCTGGTTAATTTTTTCTAGTCATCTAGACCTACACTCTGTTTGGATTCAGGGGAGGGGAAGTGAGGGGACGAGTTAGTTGTGAACGGAAGGAAAGAAAAGAGAGGGAAGAGAGGGAAAATCTCCTCCCTCTTGTTTGGTTAGGCAATACTTAATTCAGGAAAGATATACTTAATTTAGATATTTTAATATATTATTATGAAAATACTTTGCATCCCTTCCGTTTTCCTCCCAATTTCGGCGGGAAAGTGGAGTGCTTAAAATGTTTGTACACCCTCCCCCTCATAAACCCTCCATAAACTTCCCTTCCCCTCCTTAAAACGAATCCAAACATGATTTTAACTAATTTTATCCCTCCAAATCCTTCATTTCTCCACTTAAACCATCAATCCAAACGAAGTGTTGCTGTTTATGCTATTACATGCAACAAAGGTTTTTCAACATTATTGTCACTTCCTAAATCCATGTGAAAAAACTTACAATGTCTAAACTAGCTTTAACTTGCAAATGTAAAGAAACTTGAATCCATTTCAGAATGAAATGAAAAGAAATAAACAAAGAAGAAAGCATGGAGCAATCAATAACATATGTAACATATATCACACTGCAGAACAAACTGTAAACAACATAAAACAATAAATAGTAGAATGATAATTATGGTATTGACATTTTACCAGAATATCTATACCACCATAGTTTTGTTGTAGCCACTCAGTGCACAATTTGATTGATGAAGGGTCCACAATATCCAGTTGATGGAAGCGAACGTTCAAACCTCCTTCTCGTAAGACCTTTGCTGCTTCTTCACCGACAGCATTATCTCTTGATGTCAGAATAACTGTCATGCCATGTGATGCAAGCTGGTGTGCAATCTCAAACCCAATCCCTCTGTTTGCCCCCGTCACCACAGCAATAGTATCTGAAGACCACCACCTAGAAACTCAAGCAATATAATATGTTATGTCTAAAACAATCTTTCATTGGAGTAAACAGTCAATGGGAAAAGAGAATTGACAAAAAATTTAAAGATCAAGACCATTAGAAGTGTAATTGGTCCGAATATACAATGCATGCATGGCAGCTTATCCAATAATTTGCTTACAGGAGCATTTGGATGCACAATGAATGATACCATTCTATTTTGTTATTGCATCATATGAAGGAAGAGAAGCTTTGCCAAAACATGAGTAAATATAAAGAACAATTATTTCCATAGAAAAGGCAATAACAAAAATTCGAATATGGAAACTAACTGACATAATTTCCTTGCTGGCATAAAATATCTTATTTATAATATGATGGAAAATCACTATAAATGTGATGATCCGAGAAAAAAATAGACTCAAATGAGTGTTTACACATATGCTACAACTTAAGTTGGGGCACTCAGGAAGTAGAGTTGTAATGAATGAAACTCTAGGTCAGCAAAGGTTCTTACACAATAAAAACGCGAAAAAGCATTAATGATCTTGGCATACATTAAGTAGACGATTATTCCGAGTAATTTTTTAAGCCATTTATCATGGTAACACGTCACCCCATGTTCCTCCAGAAGCTTAAAGTCCCCAAATTAAAATTCTAGGGAGACTTTCATGGTAATCAGAACATGATCAAGCCTGTGCATTGGCTCAGGTCTAGAGAAGTGGGTAGGTCTTAGGTTCCAATTTTGCCTGGCAAATGCATACAATTATACATACAAACATATTATACACATGCACGCATATGTAATGGGAAATGAGATTAAGGCTAACCAAGCTTTGATTCGGTGATCTTTAAACACATTACAATACCTATCAAATTTAACAAAGATCTAATCTAGGGATGCATATGCTCAGGCGAAAACAAAATGAATGTTCCAATTCTAGAAATCAGTCGTTAGATCAGCAATTACACTCCGCATGCATTAAAAGTTGAGAAAAACAAAAAAACAAATGATTGCTGTCTCTCATCTAGCTAAGGAAAAAAGAGGGGGGGCAAATTGCACCTAGTTCTAATGTTTTGGTCAATGTCATTTTGTTCCCTGAAAAATTTCAATTGGCTCAATTTTAACCCTGAATTTATGACTTTATCTCAATTTTGTCCGATTGATTGCAATCATTAATGTTTTTGATGAAAAATATGCACATAAGTGGGCATGTGTTATGCTTTTATAGGTAAAATTGTAAACTTGTTTAACTCAGTGAGTTAACCTCAACCAACTAGTGACCATTTTCCTTCAAAAAACCTAATTGGCATTATCAATTGAACCGACTTGACACAAAATTTAAAATTAAGGGTCAAAATTAAACTAATTGAAATTACAAATACCAAATCGACACAAGGAGCAAATATATGATAGATTTCTTTTTCTTCCTATGTATTTTAATGGGCAACCTCACTATTATTTAAAACAAAATAAAAAAAATAATCAATCAATCATTTCTTTCTAACAAAACATCACTACATTTGATGAGAAAAAAAACCTATAAAATAAGATATTCCTGACAATTTCTCATAATTTCTGACCTAATTTATAAACCAAATAAGCACTCTTTCTCCTAATTTCTGATGAATTCTCACCAACCCACTCGATCGAGACGAGTGTTAATGAATAAGGTTTTGAATTCCCCGAAAATTGAAGAATACGAAAATTAGGGTTAGTTTGTAAAATGAGATTACCTTTGGTGATCGGAATAAGGGATGGTGCGGAGAAGAGAGATCTGTTGGCGCCTCTTATCTCTCCTCTCTTTGGCCCTCTGTCGCTTATCCATCTTCTTCTTCTTATTATCTTTGGTGTCAGACTCCTGGTGTACTTCTTCTTCTTTCTCATCCGACTCGCTCGCACTATCTTCCTCTCTCTGTCTATCTTCCTTCTCCTTGTATGGTTCCATCGGATGCTTCGCATCTTCAATTTTCTCCATTCTTGCTTTCGATCTCTTGTTTTTCTCCATTTCAGAGGGTGAGGTTTTCTATGATTCACTTTTTAAAAATTAAAATGGTTTGTTTTTCGTTTATTTTTTATTTTTTATTGAATTTTAAAAAATATTTTAGATGATTTTTTTAATTTTTAAATATATTTAAATCTCATTTGGAAATATATTATTTTAATAATTTTTTAAATTTTTGTAAAAAAATATACAAAAAATAGAAAGATTGATTTAACAACTTATAGTAATTTTTTATTTAAAATGTATAATCGACAAACGAGATTTAAAATGTATAATATTTGTAAATTTTTTTTATTAAATATTAAAATACAAAAATTCAATATATTATAGTTTTTTTTTGACTATTTTAGCTACAAAAGGTAAAATAGATTATTTTAGTCGCAACAAACAAAATATCACATCCAATCCATAATCATTACACTCTCCTCTTATAAAAAAAAAACCAAAAAAGTCAAAAAGTCTTTCCCAAATCAAGCTTTTTAGCCCAGGCTAAAATAGTCAAAAAAAGGTCAAAAAGTCAACCCACTTCCCAACCGAAGCTTGTGGGTGTTTAAGAAGTGACTATTTTAGAGACTTTTCGGCTTTTTGAGTATGTTATTTTAGTTTTTGTATTTAGGAAGATGAGATGGATTTTTATTTGAGTTAGTGTATTAAAAAATGTGTTGAAATGGTATTTGAAGTTAAAATAACAAATTTGTCCCTAATTTCATATTTTTCAAAATTAATCTAAAAGGGTAAAATTATAATTTATCAACATGTCACTGTGGCAGTCCTACACCCTCACTGTGACAGCCCACAACCAGCCTATTTTTTTTTTTTTAAATCAATGGTCTAAAGGGGTTAAAAGGCTTTTTTTTTATTTTTTATTGTTGAGGCTAAAATAGCCTCAACCCACGCTTTCCAAATACCGTCATTATTGATATTTTAAAATATTTTTTTATAAATATTTTATTTTCTAAATACATTTAATTAAAATATATCTAAAAAATTTATTTAAAATTATTAAAAAGTTCAATAAAAATATAAAAAATAAAACATTTCTAAAAAATTAAATTCAAAAAATTAAAAGTTGCTGCAATCAAGCACTCTCTTTTTATTACCCTCACCTAGTTTTAGTGATTTAAGAATCAAAGATGCTTTGGCCAGTATCGTATCAATGTCATGTTTCCCCATTTTTATCATTTTTATGGATCATCAATCTTGTTCCCTATCAAACTGGATTTCTGATTAATCAGAGCTTCCTATGCAGGCTGTGTAATTCCATTTTTATGATCAAAATTTATCATACAAGATTGTGGTAAGACTCCAATCACTCACTCACTCACTCCATCAGCAAATAAAATAATAATAAAAATAAAATTGAGCAAATAAAATCAAGTTTTAATTAACATTCTAAAGATTGCCATCTCAAATCAAGTGCATCAACAACTCCAACAAAACTATCAAACCTAGAACTCACGACATCCACGCCGACGCCCAACCTCTCGGCTCCAGCAGCAGTGACAGGGCATCTCCAACATCAAATTTAAGTAAAATTTGACCAAAAATTTAATTTGATACCTTTTATTTTAATATTAAAATTAATTTTTTATTAGATTTTTTTTTATATTGATACCATTTATTTTAATGTTAAAATTAAATTTTTTATTTGATTTTTTTTGTATTTTCAATTATTTGAAAAGATGTTCTAGAGGTCGTCTAGATATGAATAAAAAACCTATCAAAATTACTTTTGGTTGAGGACATCCGAGAGGGATGTCCGGCTCTGAGAGGGTGATTTATGCTCCGGCGTTGGGCCGAGGTATAAACCGAACAGGTTGGGGGCCCAGCAGAGCAGTGGGCCGAGATGATCGACTGTTCACCCGGAGATGGGCTACCAGAACTTGGGCCGGGCAGAGTTTGGACTATGTGCTGCCCCGAACCGTGCAGAAGGTGCTCGGCCAGGAAGTGACCGGTCAGACCAGGATGCTCGGTCTGAGGATTGTCGAGATCAGACAGACCGAGAGGCCGGCGCTCGGAAAGGCGCGGTCAGCCGAGGTAGTTGACTGACCGGCGAGAAGACCGACCAAAGGAGGATCCCGGGCTAAGCTTTGCCGAGATGCCGCCTAGCCCGGTCCTTCATTCGGTTATCCGGTCGGGCGCTTAAGGTATGAAGCATGGTATGACCGAGGTAGGGCAGCTCGGCTGCCGAGCTCCAGCTATGCTGGCAGGCAGTTGAGAGCAGGTGATGAACGGCATGGTTTAAGCTGACAGATGGGATAGCAGAGCCACGTGTCAGGAGATGACAGGGAGTGGATATGGGGCACAGAAGGTATATAAGCCTGTCTGCGCCCCCCATAAAAGAAAAAAAAGAAAAAAGACGAACACTCTGTAAGAAAATCCCTACACTCAAATCCTCTCTCCCTTCTCTCTATTCCCTCTAAGGTGTGTGCTAACTTGACCGTCGGAGGGGTTTTTCCGGCCACACACCGCCGGGTAGCTCATCCTTATTGACTCGCAGGTGATCGGACATCGACGGAGCTCGGAAGAAAGGAATACGGGCACGCCGGAATATCTGCTCCCCGTACAGGCTCAATGGTAAATTTAAATTTGACGAAAGATGAAAGTCTCCCTTCATTTGATGAAAATTAATGTAGGCCGAAAGGTATTACATTGAGGCTGCTTAAGTTACATTTATAGTCTTTGAATTTTGTTTATTTGGTGGAGATGATATATTTTATGCACTTGTATAGATTTGGCAGGTAACACGCAAATTCAAGCAAAAAGTGGTACAAAAGTAGATTTTTCGTGCGAGTAGTGAAATGTCCCGACCTACCACCTCACCGCGCGTGCGGCCAAGCTCTACTGCATGTGCGGCCCACCACTGTTTAAACGGTCCATCTAGAGTTGCATGCATGAAAATTTAAGGCTCTTCTGCAGAAAATAAAAAGAAGAAAAAGAGGTTGTAACCATGTTTGAAAAGATTTCAGAAAAATGGAGAGGCTAGGGTTTGGAAGAAATTCTCAAGCTTCGAGGAGAGTTTCATAGATGCTTCTTCTTCTTCTTCTTCTTCTTCTACGTCTTCCCACGCATTCATGAGTGGCTAGTCTTCCAGTTTTAGGGTTTTGATAAAAACATGTAAAGAGATTTTTCTTAGGCTTAGATTGTGAAACGGTTTGAATAAATGTATAAATGATTTAGAAGTTTATAATAATTTTTCTTTTCATCTCTTCAAGTATTTTATTCGCTGTGATTGTTTAATACTTTCCACATTAGTTTTCTTTGTGTTTGTATTCAAAGTATGAGATGAGTCATGCTACGAGAGATGAGTCGTGTTGCTACTATAGTTTAGAGCAAACGACTCGTGCAACTTGGGATAATTTGTGCCTGTACGTTGAATGCAACAATCCTCTTGATCAATGTTTCAAACTTGTAGTTGTGAAATATTGGGTAGTTCAAACCGAATTGCAATTGGTGGTCGATGTTAAGTCTTATTTATGTGGTTAGTAGTGAATTCTTTACCCTAGGATTGTCCCAAAAATTAATATCTCAAACCTGACGTTTAATTGTCAATTCAATTTCTCAATGTCATTTAATTCTCATTTAGTCATGATATCCCTAAATCTTTTTATCAAAATTAATTTAGGAATTTAACAATTAAATTAGTTTAATTTCCCTTTTGTTCCTGTGAATCGATACAGGTGGCTGGCTGGCCAAAAAATTGTAGCCGGCCGTCCCCTACCTAGCCGGCCGATTAGGTTTCCCAGCATAACAAATATTTGTTGCCAGTTGTCCCCCCATGTGCATACACTGCACCAGTTGGCTTAATTTCGAGATAGCAACCAGTTTTTCTATAAATATTTGACCATACCTTATGTTTTTAGGTTAGAAAAAATTACTAAAGATCAAATTCTTGAAAATCTCTCTCTTGCTCTCTAACTTGCAACACACATACACTACACCAACACTTCCTAAACCAAAAATTTAAGACTCCTTGCTGAGGTTCTTGAGCTAAAATTTCAGCTCTTGAGGGTGATCACTTGTGGGTTTGTGAATCAAAGGTATAACTTTGGCCATCTTTACACTACTTCTTCCCTCTCTTTTCTTGTTGTTTTTATACTGTTTTTGGATTGTTTTTATGGGCTAAAACTTATGACTTAAAGCTACCAAAGGTAGAGGGGTTAACCGCCCTTCTTTGAACTTTGTTTCATAAGCTTTTGTCCTTTTGTTTCCCACTTCTTTCTCAACTTTTGGTCACTGTTTTTCAAAGTTTTAAAAGGCTAAAATATGTGGTTTTGAGGTCCAAAAAGTGGAAGGGTTAGCCACCCCTTCTTAGACTTGCTTACTAGCTTTATTTCTCTCTTATTTTAGCTCACTTTTTCTAGCTTTTTCATACTAATTCCAGCACTGTTTTGAGAGTTTTGTGACTGTTTTAATGTGCTTACTTCATTTATGCTTTGAATGTATGCTTGCATTATTGTAAGTCCTCATAAGTTTGATGGTTTAGGCCTTAGACATCAACTTATTTGAGTTGATAGTTTTTATTTTCATCACTTTCATACATATACTCTCACTTGTAATACTCATCTCTGCACTCTCCCTCCTTTCTAGGTTTTCTTTATTTGAGAGTCGTTTCAAACGAGTGTTGTTTAAGGCATGCGAAAGAGACCCTTCCATGCTTAATGGTTTAATCTCTTCGGATGTTCATTACCATGGCATTACATCTCTCTCATGCCAAGAATAACTCCTAGTTTGACACTTCTCTTCATTAGTGGACATAACCTTTTTTTGGACTAAAATAATTAAAGAATGAAAAGGTAATTAAAAGGGCTAATAAAATTGGACTAAAATGATAACAAGAGTAATAAAATTAGTTTGGATTTAATCAGATGTTAATTGAACCTATTGCGTCTCGAGTCATTACATACTCATTAGTGATGTTGATGATTCGAGAAGCGATGTGTTCCACTTCCCTAGAGAGGTAACTCCATGATAGGGAGGAGGTTTTGTTGGTCTTTGATTTCCACTTATTAAGACTTTGTCCCATTGATTCATAAATCA